GCTGACTGTCTCAGTCTGAAGTGCCTTTCTCTTTCCTGCCAGTGGTTCCAATGCAGACTGCTATATGCTGTGAGCTAACAGACCAGGGATTGGGGTGACCCAGAGACATTGCATAATATACAATCATTCCAGTTCTCTACAACAAGGCTGAAGTGGCCATTTGAGTCTCTTGCAGAGGAGATTGTCTCATCCTTAGTGTTTATCTCAGTTGCAGGGGCAGCAGGCTGGGCTGAGGATTGTGCCTAATACCATCACCAGTGAAGTTGGCCAGGTGACCTCCCAGATATTACACTGAAAATGTTCATTATTGTGTGGAGGATTATGAAACTGTCATGTCATTACTGAATCTGGACAGATGCCCCTGAGACTGACTGCTCTGTAACTACTGGATTCACCTCCTGATCAGATTGACAGGGCAGCTAGTGGAGACTTCTATCCAATTAGCTGGGAGCTCATCAACTAGTGATTAAAGCAGTATTTCTCACTCTTCAGTTACTGTCCATCAGTCACTCAGAAAAATCTATTGTGAAACTCTGGCAGTTCCATATGCTTCATGAAGGCATTTTGCAAACAGAGGCCCAAATTCCCAGCTGATGTAAAAGCAACATAGCTCTGCTGAAGCAAATGGAGCAAAGGACCTGCTACAGCTGTGGACGGGGCACCAAGTAGTATTTTAAGGGTAAGCTCTGGGAATAGAGTATTTCTGTGGATGCAGAATTTCAGCTGGGTGCACTTGGAGAGGGCAAGTGTTTCAAAAGTGTGACAGCTTAGGGGAAAAAAGAACATTTGCAATGCCCAGCTCTACCTCTGGGTTTTTCCCTAAAATGAACCCCTCTAATTCCCTGATGGAGTTTACTGCATTTTGGACATACGTAAAGCTTAGCTGGTCATTCTGTGATAGGCCTACTCTTGATGCTTAGAAGTCTAAGAACACAGAGACACAGAAACATACTTTAAATTCAAGGCACCAGTTTTTCAAGATCACCTCAGAACAAGGGTTAAACTTGATCCTGAGACAGGAGCACTGAAGCACTTAAACCAGGGGTGGGCAAAATACAGCCCGGGCTGGATCCGGCCTGCCAGGCAATTTCATCCAGCCCATGGGCGCTCACCAACTAATTATATCCCACCCAGCCTGCACACGTTGCTCCCATCCTTGTGGGCAGAAGGGCCCGGCTCAGCCAGTGCACAGCTTCCAGGTGGGGCTGCTGCAGCCACTGCTCAGCTTCCCTGGTGTCCCGCTCACTCCAGACACCAGGTGGGGAAGCGGCAGGGACAGGGGGGAGCTGCAGCTGGGCAGGAGCGCGGACCACAGGGCTGGGGCTGGCGGCAGCGTGGAACACGCAGCCAGGGAGGCAGCGGGAGCACCAAGATCGGGTGGCCAGGATGTGGGTGTGAGGGAAGGTGTAAGGGTGTGGGGACCCCCCACACATTCCCCACCATAGCACACAGCCCCCACAACTGACGGCGCCAGCAGCAGCAGGTGGAAGGCACTTGGGGTGCTCGTGCCCTGTGCAGGCACTGCTGCCCGGCGGCACACGGCTCCATCCAGTGCTGCACATGGTGGCAAGAAGCACAGCCAGGCCATGCCTGCCTCTATCATGTGGTGTACATGCAGCTCCTGGCACTCGCATGCCACCAGGGTAAGCCCTGTGTGATGGAGCTGGTTGTATTTGCCGCTCCCTGCCATGTGGGTCCCAGGACTCTGCCAGGAAATGGAGGGCAAGGCTGTCCTGCACTTCCAGCAGAGTCCTGGGACCTGCAAGTTTAACCCTTGTTCTGAGGTCATCTTGAAGAACTGGTGCCTTGAATTTAAAATATGTTTCTGTGTCTCCGTGTTCTTAGTCCTCTAAGTATCAAAAGCAGGTCTATCACAAAATGATGGTGTGGGCTGTGAGCTATGTGGGGGGGAGGGTCCTCCTGTAAGAGATTACACCCCACAAATGCCACACACCCACACCCTGCCCCAACCCCCCCACATATACCCTACACCCCAACATACCCTATTGCCCCCACACATACAGCCACACCGCCTCACAAACCCCTCACCACACCCCTGTACACCCACCATACGCACACCCCCATCCCCATCCCCACCCCAACCCCAACCATACCCTATACCCCCCACACAATACACAAGAATAAGACTTTAACTTTGAGTTATTATGCAGTCACCTCTATATACACTACACAAATACAAATCATGACAAAAATGTTTTTTGTAATAAAATTAAAATATGTTATAGTAGGTGTTTGACTTAGTATATCATTTGGTTTTTCCCTAAGATGGAACTCCAAAAGGAGTACTTGTGGGGTGCAAGGGGAGGGACTTCTGGTGGCAAAGGTCATGGGTTAAGGGCAGGACATCCAGTCAGAAGATGGCGACCAGGGGCCAAGCCACTTGTCAGAGGGAGGGGCACTTGTCAAGGGGTGGGGCAACCATTGCAGCCCTCGACAGCTCACCAAAACTAATTAAGTGGCCCTCCAGCAGAAATACTTGCCTGCTGAGATTACGAGGCCATATGAATGTGCAGCCTCAGAGTCATCAGTGGGATGTGCTTTGGGCTGTTCTGTCTAGGTCTCGATCAGCACCAAAGCACAAAGGGATTTGCTTGACATTCTGTGGTTGGGTAGGGGGCAGCGTGTCAAGTTATGAATGTGATAGGGAAGAACTCACGCAACAGCGCTCCTGCAGCCCTCTTGGGCTGGTGTGGGCTTGAGTAGGATTGAAACAACTGCAAAAATTTTCTGGCAGGGGCAGGTGTTATGATTTGCCTTGCCTCCCTCATAATGGGATTTGCATTCACAGGCTGCAAGGGTTCATGGAGCAGGGATGCAGATGGATTTCACTTCTCTGCACCATCTATCTCTAGAAGCAGCTCAGTTTTAGTCTGTAGGCTTTCTGGCTCTCTTTGCCACACCGCTTCTTACCTGCCCTTGGTCATTCCATTCCAGCACCTGTCCTCATTCACTGAGCCAGCTGTTATCCTCTCATTGCAAAGTACACTGGGAAGAGTGACCCAGTAATCCTTGATATCTCTCAGCTTCCCTTTGGCATCTGACACCTGTAAGGGAAGGGAGAATAGGGGCTCAAGAAAACACCTGTTAAACTCTGGAGGCTGGTTAGCTCTCCCAAAATTGACTGGACTCAATAATATTGGGCATCTTTTTTCATATGCAGGATAATGACACCCTTAAATGCCAACCATCTGCCCAAGGAGCTGGGAAGGTGGGCCACTGCTTTCCTCAAAGGACCAACTGTTCCAGTATGCCTGTCTTATATGCACCATGACTGGTTAATACTTCTGTATCACAGCCAACCTGCTAGCTCTTTAGTGGCACTCCTACCCAACTCCACCTGTTACAGTGATCTGGAGAGAGGAGACTGGCCCACAGATCATCCTGGAAGCAGCAAGGCCACAGGATTCTCTGTAGTTATTAGAGGACACTGTGGGATCCTGAGTGACCAGGAGAAGGGAGTGAGGGCGTGGGGATGTTGTGAGAGTGTGGGCAGCCGGCTGGTATTAGAATGCAGACAGAAAGTCAGAAAACTGGATCTGATGGGGAACTATGGAGTAGCTACAAGAAATGGATTCCTTTTGGCTAGGGGGAAGCTAGAACAGGAGAAAGTAGTGGGGCTGGGAGTAATAAAGTGGAAGATGCTGAGGAGTTAATGATGATCCAATATCCTATTGCCCACAGAATCAGAAATGTCCATTAAAGGCGACCATGGCCCAACAATGAGGTGAGGTTGCAGTGAGATAATATATCACATTACCCCTCTGCCCCCAACACCAGAAGAAGAGAAAGAGCAGGTGTGGGAGGACAAGGGCCTAAGACAGCAGTTCCAAGTTAGAGAGAAAACCAAATAATGATGTGGATCAAGCTCAGCAGACACAGGTACATCCAGGATCACAGTGACAGGGGTGCAGCCACACCCCCTTCAGTTGTGTGGTGCGTGCGCAGTGAAGAGAGCTCAATGAGCATGTACCATGCAGCCAAACAGGATGTGGCCTCAGGTGCTAGAGGCCAGTGACCTCTCAATGCTCTGGCAGCTCCTGCCAGAGCTCACCAGCATGGGGGCTGTCTGGAGTTCCTGCTTTCAGGGTGGCAGTGACAGTGGCACTCAATGCCTGCATGCTGCTGCTTTTCCCATTTCCCCTACTGCTGAATTAGGAGGTGGAAAGGTTGGGGAAGAAGGGAAGAGAAGAGCAAACAACAGCAGGCTCTGGAGCTGCTTGAAGGCAGGGTCTCCAGATAGGCCAGCCAGTGAGTTCATAGAGCTCACAAGCAGCAGGAGATGCTTCTACCTGCCTGAGAGCTCACTGCACATGCAGCACACAGCCAAAGCAGAGGCAGGTGGGAATCAGCAGATGGCACATGAATGCCTAGGGCTGGCTGGCTTGTGCTGTTAGCCTTATGGACCACACATCTTTATGAGCCTGGGCTGTTCCACTGGTCTGGCTCTAGGGAGCCAAAAGTTGTCTTAAATGGAATAACAAAAACATGAGACTCTAAGGGACCTCAAGAGTGCATGTAGTCCACCTCCCTGTGTGAGGTAGGATCAAGGCTACTTAGACCACTCCTGATAGACATCTGTTTTGCCTGTTCCTGAAAATATTCAATGAAGGAGATTCCACAACATCCCTCAGTATCTGGTTCGGTGTTTCACCACCCTAAAGACTAGTGACATCATTCAAGAAGCAGTTACAGGCCAGGAACTTTCCCTAGGTACTAGGCATACATGAGTGTTTATTGGAAACCCACCACAGGCCAGAGTATAGTCAAGGGCTTGCCTCTGAGCTTGCATTGCACAGAACTATGCCAATTGCAAAAAGGGTTGGTGAGCCACAGTGCAAGTACAAAACTGCATGCTTGGGCTAGTGACGGGATCAATACCCAATGTGGATAAGAACCAGGTGTGAACATGTAGCTCACAGTGGGAACAATGTGGAAGTGCTTTCTAAGCAAATGAGGAAATTTCTAAGATACACTTACTAGCTTCTCCAGTCCAAGTCCTGAGGGCTTATCATCTGGGGCAGTTTTTCCCCTCCTTTTCTTATCTTCTCCACTGGATGCTTTTGTACTGATTTTTGGATTTCCACAACCTTGGAAAACCTGAGAAAAAAGAAAATCCCACAGTCAACAGCTTTCCCTCTTAGCCAGCATTGTATTTATAACTTTTCCTGTTCAACAAGCCTGTTTGAATCATCCATTTACTATCATTTAATCATTTAGGAGCTTTCACCAAATCTCTAGCAATTTTGTCCTTCCTTTAGTATTCTATCTGCTCTTTGAAGGAAAAAAGGCCCTACCCTTCCATTTTCCACCCACCGTAGCATACCATCCTAATGACTAGGTTTGACTTCACATGCAAACCTTAGTGAGACTGTAATGTCACTAGATCAATGCCACAAATTCAATACAGAAACATAACTCATCATCAATTCATCCGGGGGAGCATGCAGGTACAATCACTCTCAGCAAGGATTGTTACCAAGAGGGATTTGAAGGGGGTGGGGAGGGGAGGGGAGGGATACTTACTTCCCTTTTATAATTACATATAACCAACATGAAGACACTTGTTTCTAAAGCAGTCTATTGGCTCTGCCAACTCTAAAAGAGTTCTGCAGTGCTCTGGTCTTGGTCTCTCCTGTAGTTGTTACACATGGTGCACTTCTAAATAGTAACCTTTAAGTTGTTAAATCATCTACAGTCCAACATTAATATTTAAAACAAATGAACTAGCAAAACCTAACAACTAACTTTTGTTCTCTCACCAATGAATGCGCATTAATGGTTTGTGCTTGGCTCTGGTGTATGAAGGAAACCATAGAGACAAAACTGGTCTCTATAATAAATATATTACGCATAGGATAATAGATGCTCCAGTATGTTATAATTAGGTAGTGCAGTGAACAGGCCTTATCTGCTCCTGCCAGAGGGTCAAAGTATATTGCAGGGTCTTGTCTTTAAGTGTATCCAAATACTGACTGGAAAAATATGATCCCTCAGTCTGAGCGTTTTGTTGATGGGGGAGATGTCATATTTGGAAGTATCCCAAATATTTCTGGGCTGCAGTGCCACTTTTAAGATTTCCAGGATTACCCTGTGGTGTGCAGCTCAGCTACAGAAAACCCCCCAGCATACTGCAAAAGCAGCCTGTGTGACTGAAAAAGAAAATTTACCTAATTCATTTTAAGCTCATTAGACATTCAGGTTGGCTCTTGCTTTACCCAAACTGCCTCTCCAATCCCTGCTTTTTCTCTTGCATACACTGGTACACTACAGCAGAGGTGCTACTAGCTATGGCCATTAGAATCTGAGTACCGATGGTACCAATATTTTACAAGGGAAAAGGAAGCCTCAAGGCATTTACCATGTGGACTGAGTGGACGAAAATCAGAGACAACATGCACTAGATAAGCTAGAAGGAAGTTCTGTCCTAGAGAGCAGATAGGTTTTAAGACATTGTAACACAGGGTATCTTGCCAATGACCTTGTGTCAGTAGGTGGCAGTTTCTATTGACTGAATTACAATTAGTATTTAAGGAAGATTTAGAACAGAAGGAGGCTGGCAGCTTCTTGGATGAGAGAGTGCTTCACAGGTGCAACACTGAGAGGCTGTAAAAGAAGGCCTGACCCAGCCCAAAGCTTTCCGAGCAGTGCAGTTTTGATCAGTAAAGCCTGCACTGCTTCTTGGACAGTCCACTTGCTATATCAGGGGTGGCCAGCCTGTGGCACTCATGCCACAGGTAGCATGGGCAGCCTCTGTGTGGCACATGGAAGAGCTTGGAGGGGCAGGAAGCACAGTGGCAGATGGGGCAGGGTACAGAAAGCAGAGCAGCAAATCAGGCAGTAGCAGGAAGCAGAGAAAGGGACTGGAGTAGCACTTGGGGAGGGTGCAGGACTCATTTGTGACACCCCTGCCAAAAAAGGATGGCCCCCAAAGTAAATTAGGAAGGGCCTAGAAACGATCTTGTCGGAGTTTAAGACTCTTAAGCCAGCATTTTAAACTGGGCCCTTAATTTTACTACTGGCTTCTACTCTAGCCTTGGGCCGCTTGCTGAACCTCCCTGTCTCAGTTTTTCCATCTGTAAAATCATGGGATAATTACTTGACACACAGGCACATTGGGAGGGCTGCCAATGCCCAGCCACTATGAAACCTACTGGGCAGTAAGTACAATTTACATTACAGAAGAAACTTCTATGGTGCTATCAACCTAACAGCCTGACAGTGTTCTGCAGCACTTTCTTTGAAGCTGGAGACCTGACTCTTGGCACTGGAGATGGCCTTAGGGATGGGCGACATGAGTGACTGTCCAGGGTACCATGATCAGGGGGGTGCTACACACACACACATATATACACTCATACACACACGCAAACACGTGAGCAGCCCGGCTCACAACAGTGTTCTCCCCCACGCCCTGCTCTGAACCACCCCAGCCAACCGCCACCCCAGGCAGGAGGAGTGGAGCCCAGCCCAGCCTGCCCCCCAACTCCAGCCACTGCTCAGGAGGAGCCAGGCTGGGCATGTAAAGGAGGCAGCAATGGCACATCTGCCTGGCACACCATGCCACTCTGCCTCCTCACTGGTCTGCATCCCACACCCCTGCCTGCCTGCCGCAGCACTGCTGATTTGGGTTTGGGGTGGGGGGGAGGCATTATGCTAAAATATGAGTTTGCCAGGGTGACATTTTCCAAAAGGCTGGCTTTGCTTGGCACTTTCATTCCTTTTGGCTCCTGCTTCACCAGGATGCCGAACTTGCCCTCTGTAAGTACCAATATCAGCCTTTTAAATTCAATAATCCCTCTCATCCCCCATCAAAATTAGCCACATCTAAACTTGCAGTCAGCAGGTCACTTGGCTGAAAGCCACTGCAACACTGCTGACTTTTTCTTTTGTAAGTTGTCAGAAAAGTGACTTTGTAGAACAGGTTTGTACCAAGAAGGGACCCAGCTGGAATGAATGCAGACAGCCACATGCATGGATGGAGTTAGGACCTTCCTATATATGGATTACCTGAGCCAAGCCACGGACTTCAAAACTTATTTGATGCCACTGGCTAGTTGAGCTCATTGATTTGCCTAACTGTATTCAATACTACTGGGTGGATTCATTGTTTAGTTTTTGACAATATGCTCAGAGCTTCTGTATGAGTGTTTTAGTATTATTAAATCCAGACAAATACAGAATACAAAGGCACCTTACAGCAGTCAGAATTTGTTTGGTTCTTTCTGTTTTACAAGAAGGGGACAATCTCCTTCCCAATCCCCAATTAAATTCTATAAGAAGATAAGATATTTTCTTTTCTCAAAGGTTACAAATGTAGTCTTTAGATGACAAGACCCTCTCACGCCACAGCTGTATCCAGGCAAATCAAATCAAATCAAATCAAATCAAATCAAATCAATAACTTCTTCAGCATGTCCAGAAGGCCATTAAACTGAGGTTGCCTTGAACTAAACCTGGGGGGGTGCAACATATGCAGCCCTTAATTTGGACCTCCCAGTATACAAGCAGACTGAAAGTTTGGCAAGCTTTATACACTGTAATTTTAATTTGAAAAGCATCACTGTTTTGGTTAAAAAAACCCATCAATGTTTGGTTAAAAAACCATCAAACTATTTCTTATGTGTCTTCAGACTTGCACCAATTGCCTTTTTAACCAAATAGGAATGTGAAGGCAGAAGCTATTAAAAGATCCTAAAATTAAACTAGATTAGCACTTAACCCATTAATACAGATAAATCAAGCGCTCAACCATTAGTTAGCGCTGGTGATAACTCATTTCACTCCAACTGCTGCATGCCTTCTGTAAGTTGACAGCTCCCAGGGGCTACTAAGAGCTCATCTTAACAAGCAACATGGAAATGAAAAACAGCAAGTCCCATTAACATTCTTGAAGGACACTACTTGTACCATTAGTTTAGGATTTTTTTTCCCCAATATATATTGCTCTTCATGAAGGAATGCAGGTAGAAGCCACTTTTGTATACTATACAATATAATGGCAATTCTCCAGCAACTGAAATATTTCATCTGCCTATTCCTTCTGGTGCAAAACTTTTAAAAATTACACATAAAGTATTTAGGCAGACAAGGTTCCTTGGGTGAATTTGATATCTTTTATTAGACCAACCCAAATGGTTGGAGAATAGTTATTAAGCAAGCTTTCGGGTTCAAAAACCCTTTGTCAGGCTCAGGAAGCTGCAGCAGTTGGTGTGTGCTCTATGTTTTTAAGTTTCCGTAGCAAGTCTGTGGTGTCTTGGACAAAACTTGCTCTGTGGGTGACAAGCGGTTTTAGGATGGATTCAACAAAACCTGATATTTCCTCAGTTAGGGTCCCATGGTTGGATATAATAGGTCTGCCAGGGTTCCCTTGTTTGTGGATTTTAGGGAGCATGTAAAAAGTCCCTGGGTTAGGTAGTGGGGGGATGAAGGTCTGTAGTTTTTCTTGTAATCTTGGTGGAAATGAGCAAGGACACTCCTCCAGAGAGGTAGAGCGCACGCTTGAAAGAGCCACCTGGATACCACATGAAGAACTGCTGCAGTACAGAAGAAAAACACCCACAAATCGCACACCGCTGGTTATGACCTATCACCCATCCCTTGAACCTGTACGGAAAATCCTCAAAAAATTGCAACCCATACTAGA